ATCAATTAATATGAATTAATTAAATGAAAAAGTGGGCAAAAAACAATTAATTGACTGTTTTGTTTTGTACTGGGTAGGGTTAAACCTAGAAGGTCAAACATCTTGGAAGTAAACCATCTTCATGGATACCAAATGGGAAATGAGATCTATTGCCAAAACTTCAGAAACTTACAGGGAAAAATAAACATTTGATAATAAATTACCTATTGTTAACCTGTTCTGAAATGTAATGCACAACAACTTTGAAAGGATGTGCCAATACGAACAGAGAAAAGACCTAGTCTAAGATATAGATATGAATTTTAGTCCATTTAGGACTCATTCTTGGTTCAGAATCTGTGTAATTAATTTAACAAAATATCACAAAAATGCACTAAAAATCTAGTAAAATTTTTGTAAAGTATTGCTAGACCTGCTTCTTAAAATTATATTTTCCTTCAACATAAGAACAAAAAAACAATTTAAAGTATAAAAAAACGATTTTAAAATTTAGATTTGTTTGAATAAATTAAATCTCATCTGCATTCAATATATGGGGACACTTTTTATGTATCACATAACACATTTCACAGCAGATAACAATGATTAAAATCCACAATTAATTTCTGTCAATGGTCACTAATTCATGGCAAATAAAACGTCATGGATTGATCACAGACGTCAGCATTTGCATCAGCTATTAGATACTAACAAATCTCATGCCAACCGTTAGAGGCAAATTTCATTAACAACTAACGCTGCTGTTTTTGCTAATTTTATCAGTTACTGAAACATGCAGCGCTAAGTAATTCCATTAATCAGTTAACTTAAAGACATCCATGAGCTAAACATTCAGCACCCAGTTGGGCCATGACATACAGTACTTTTCATATACTTGCATCCTGACTAGTTACTTTTACACTTATGTAAAAGAATAATTACAATTTTGAGAATTCCTTTAGAAAGAAATTAGAAAGACCATGACTTAGTTGGCATCTGTATACCACTAAACACTGAAAATAAACACT